GAATGAGGTAGAATTAGATAGCGGTGACGGCTGCACAACCTAATAATAGCCTAAAAGCCATTGACCTCTACTCTCTAAAAAGGTGAATAATATGTTAATTTTCCTTTTAAAAGCCTACACAGGCACAGATTGTGAAATAAATGAGTAAAATAAACAAAGAAGTATACATATAGCTTGTTTATAATTGAGGAGCGTTTTGTTCCCAGTGTTTTAAAATAATCTTAGACACGGTAAATTCAACATAAAGCACCAAAAAATTCTCTGGTCAAACACAGAATCTCCCCCTTCTAGAATGACTTTCCATATTGTAGGCACTCATATTAATCAGTAAACCAAGGAAACAAGCCCATCAAACCTGAACAAACTCTGCTAAAATATAATATATTCCATGGTTTCTTTTCAGATGCAGGTCTTATAAAATTCACTTTCCAAACTTTGTCCTTCACAGGGCCTTTTCACATTCTGGAACAAACTGACACTTTATTGTAGGACAGGGAGTCTTCGGGGTCAAAACTATTTTCATAATAATGCTAAAATGTTATTTACATTAATGTGCAATGGGCTCATCATTGCTATTTTCAAATGAATCAATAAATAAGTATTTTTAAACATCTCCGTTTCAATTTTTAAGGTAGTAAATATCGATAGTTTTAACCCACATAAACAAAAGCTCTTTGGGTAATCTCAATAAATTTTAAGAATGTGGAACGGAAGATCACGTCTTAAAATACAGTGTTGAGTGAGAAAGGAAACAGAATAAGAAATGGCATGACAATACCATCTATGTGAATTAAAAGTGCTTACACATAAGATAGGAACAGTGCTTTGTTGGAGCAATAAAAAACCAAAAGACACGCACTGGGCATTCCAGAACCGTTGCCCACAGTGGGAGAGGGAGGTGTGAGAGTGGGAAATCTCATTCAAAAAGATTAAAACCCACAAGAGAGTAGACCCTTGATAATGAACTGTCATGAACTGAGGCGCGTGCTTAAATTCACCCTCTGCACTGGAGGTCCCACACCCCCATCAAAGAAAAATACTTACGGGCTCCCCGACCCCACTCCAGCTACCGGTGTCCAGAACAGAGCTGATACCAGAGACCCTCTCCTGGACTCCCAGCATCTTTGTCTTCCCCAAGATGCCTCATCCTGGAGGATTTATTCCAGGAAATTCATGCACGATGAGAAGCAGGGGAGGGTCGGCCTCCGAGGGAGCAGCTCCCAGGACAGGGAAGGCGTGTGGGGTTGGGTAGATACCACAGAAGCAAAGCAAGCCTATTTATTATATACAGACCACCTACATTGACCAAAGGGTTTGTTCAGTTGCAGGGGTAAGGGTGGGAGTGCTAGTCAGGTGGGAAGCATGTACTTAATGTGGAAATAGGCAGAAAGTGACAGAAGTGGTTGGAGGGACCAACCATGCCATCTGTCATTCTGTTAAGTGGACATTTTTAAGGTGCTTGAGTTGGAGCGCCATGGTGCCTATGGTGGGAGGCAGGGGAAGAAAAAGGAACCCAGCAGAGACACAAAGAATCCAGATTGGAGGGCCAGATGCTGAGAGAAGAAAGTTCTTCAACAGGCACTGAGCGATTCATGGGGTTAGGGCCAGGGGCTGCAACCCCAGATGTGTACCAAAGGGCATGTGCTCCACTGCATTCAACCAACAACAGAAATATCAGTGATTAACACCCAACGACCCACTGGTTTCTGCTTAACCAGTGCCCTGACCCACCGGGGATTCGCTGCTCGTCAAAGAAACGTATTCCACTGCCATTCAGCTCAGTGATGAAGTTTGTCATTGTTTGACGGCTATTGTTCGGAGCCTCAGCTACAGGCTGTCCATTATGCTACACTCACACCGGGAGTTACCTGGTAAAGAACCAAAGCAAACCCATCCCTGCCCACACGGGGCTCCCCGTCTGATGAGATGGCAAATAATTGCGGAGGCAAACCATCGCGGGGATGTTCTTGCCTTTCTGAGTCCCACACAAAATGCCTAATCTCTCATCCTATTCATCCCGTTGATTTTAAGGTGGGCCCTCTCCCTCTCTACCCACCCTCCACTCTCTCTCTCCTTAACCCCAGCCTCTTTCCACAACTCTTTCTCCAGTGAGCTCTTCCCTCCTCCCCCGCTGCCCTCAGTAATGCTGAGGGACACACTCTGGTCTGTAACTGCCCCTCTTCAGGACTTACCAGGTAAATGATCTGTAGGGCCCAGTGCTAAAAGAAAACACGGGGCTTCCTTCTTCAAAAGATTCTTAAGAATTTCAAGATGACGACAGCAGAGCATTAAACCAAGTGTGGGGCCTGCGTGACAGCACAGGTCGCCTGTCCCCGAAGCCAGCCTCACCTCAATGGAACATGGAGAGAGAAATGAGCTTATGGACCACCAGCCCAGGGCAGAACAGGACCGGCACCAGGCTGCACCGCCCAGTCTGTGACTGTTAGCTTGTCATGAGCAGGAGATGGGCCGTCACCACTAACCACTTCCAATGGGACCCGGAATCTCACCAACTCCCCTTAAAAGGGATCGTTAAAATTTGTTAAGAGCAGAAATTGCAAATGGAACTTAAAGGTTAAGGAAAAGCGAGCCTCCTGAATGTTAATTTTAAAACCCAAAGAAAAGTTTTGAAGCACAAAACCATGCTCTAAATGACAAAGCCCGCACAGCAAACCGTGGCTCTGCGGCAGGGGTGGACAGGGCAACGCGTCCCCCAAGGATTATTGTCAGCACACACAAAGGAGAAGCTGAAGGGGCACCAGCTGTCCCCACAGTCACAGCCTAGAGGACAGATCTCTGGTCTCACCCCAAAGGTGGCCCTTACAAGTCCTGAAGGAAGGGGGCTGCTGCTCTGACTCCCTTTGCAGTGTCGCTTTTCTTGGCCTCTGGTGTCATAAAGATCATCAAAGTCAGGACACACTCCTCAGAAGAGAGGACATTTCATCAAAGACTAAGCAGCTGACACAGCTGGGTGAACTGGAAAGGAACTGAAGCACTCCAGGAGAAAGCACAAAGGGGAAAAGAAATGGACCCTCAAAGGCGGGGAGGCCGCAAGTTCTGGAGAGTTAACGCCTGCAGAGCATCCCTCAGCCAAGAAGAGAAAGGAGTCGGTGGGCAAATACCCCAATTTCCTGGTGCCATTTACCATGGCTCATGCCCCCGGCCCCGGCATCCAATGTGCCACGAGGCAGAAAGCAGCCGAATTCCAGGATAAAAAAAAATACGAAGTCTGACGGATCAGATCATGACAATCCCCGGACAAAACACTGTCCACAACAGTTTGAAAGATGCAGCCTCCTTCTCTTCCAAACAGAGAGTGGCAGTATCACCATGCCATAGCAGGGAGAACAAAGAGGGCGCACAGCCCATGCTCGGCCGAAAACTCAAGAGGAACATCACACAAGCCTTCAGAAGGCCATGAGCAGCAAGTCAGGGCTCTGCAACACTAACAAAGTCAGGAAGAAAGAGAGTGGTTTGAAAAAGATGCGGCCTTCCAATTCTGAGCGAGATGATGTGTCCAGCGTGCAAGTGTTGGAAGAGTAGGTAAGGCAAGGAAGGAGGCAAGGGTCCCCTGCACCGGGTCAATGCTCACCTGGAAAATGAAGGCAAAACCACACAGGCCTTAATGAAGGCCATGGGCAACAAGTCACGATGGTGCACAGACAGCCAATCAGGAAGGAGAAAGAGCAGAAGCTGCTTGAGGAAGTGAAAATGAATAAGCAGAAAATCCAAGACCTGGAGAAAAAATTAGAAAAACAAGAGAGGTCCTATAAAATTTACATTTGCATTCTGAACCAGGAAAGCCATGAACCCTCATTCATGGCAGAGGATGTTAGAAGAGCTCTTGACACAGAGAAAGTGGGAACTGCCAACTTGAGACATGTTTTAGGACAAACACACCAAGAAAGAGACTCTTCAACAAACCGTGTCCCAACTCCAAGAAGCAAGCAGTCACCAGAAACTTCCTGGAAGACACCCTCAATGATCAGAGAGCTCTTCTGGCCCAACCATCAAAACAGGTGAAATCTCGCTCCCAGCACCAACAATATGCCAACCTGTAGGGTCTTTCTCTTCTTGCTGAAGGAGCCCAGCCCCGACTGGAGGTCCCAACACCAGTTCCAAGGGGTCATCTGAGGCCTTGAGTGTGTGGTGTGCCTCCTACATGGTACAGCTGGGGTCCCACCAAGAGATGCAAGAAACTCTTCTCTTCTAAATAGCAGGATGTCACGGGCCACCTGTCATTTCCATGATTTCCATGATCACATCAAGACAAAGATGCCCACCCCACCAGGGAGATCCCACCCACCTGGGAGGACCTCCAGTGCCCCTTCGTTCCTCCACCTATGGTTCCCCTTAGGCCTACTGAGAAAATACAATCTGTGCTTTCCCCAAGTTAGAACTTCCTTTTGCCCAAGAGGGAAAATGCAGACAACGATCTGAGGTGTGGGGTTTAAAAAACTATCTGACCACTACAAAGACCACTGCTCAAACTGTTTCTTCCCACCAACAACAATGCACCAACCTACAAGGTCCTCCTTGTCCCTCACTGGAGGAGCTCAGCCTAGACAGGGGGCCATGCCTGCTAAGGAAGCCCCTATACCTTGTCCTAGGCTCATCTGAGCTCTCTACTGATCTCATATCTGTGCTTTGCCAAAACCATTAACTTCTTCAGGTAAGAGCAGAAGACCCACTCTGCCATAATGTCAAAAAGGAAACAACTCGGTTGTCACAAAGATGGCCCATCCAGGGCCACCCCAATCCTCACCTTCCTCAGCAGTGCTCCCTGGCTCTTTCAAGTGAGAATTATGAGACTGTGGACCCACCTGTGGAGACTGGACATACTCCAGTATCGGCTCTGCTGTCTACATAGCAAATGTGAGGACTCCCACACTGCTACGACAATTTGCACCACAAGCCTTGGTGCAGTTTGCCCAGCTTGAAGAGACATGTTCTCAGAGGTGCCATTTGCAGTTAATTCCGAACCTGATACCCCAGCTCCACGACTACCACACTCACACGGGGAACCAGAATCTCTGATACCACAGGTTGATGACGAACTGCAACATTGACTTGGTCTATACCATGCAGCCCTCAACAGCCTAGTGGTATCGTTTAGAGACACCCATGAAAACAGCCATATTCGCTCTGCAGAGAGCCACCTTGATGCCTTTAAAGCAGCCGGCAACAGGGCCATGGTGCACATGCCTTACCAAACTCTAGATGTCTCAGCACATTTTACATTTGTCACGGCACAGCTGTGGTGTCACAAGGTACTACTGGGAATCCTAATCTGAGCTCACAGGACCAGATGTGCAGATGACACCCAGGTGCACACAATTGCAAAGAGGGACTCAGATGCCCACACTCAGCACTATTGACACATACCTCCCAGAAGTCGACTCCAGGCTGATTCTTCTACCTGGAGTCATTGACGAGATCCCCAAGTCCCACAGAGCGTGGGACTGACTCAAGGCAAAAGCCAGCACCTGGTTCCCTTAGTCTAAGGGATCTTCACCCAGAGGTGCTCCATGTTGCACCCATAGCATCTCCAAAGCTTGTGTCTGCTGCCTGGCACCCGGCATCACAGCCCCAACAATGAGACTGAAGGACTCGCAACTGAAGGACTGCCCAAAGCAAGCTCCATGAGCATTCCGGAACAAAGCTCCCGAGAGCGACACGTCCTGGAGTCATTTGAAATTTCTGGGGACATGTTGGAGCAGGTGTACAAGGAGTTAAGCAAGAGAAGAAGAGCCAAGCCTGATTCGCCTATGGAGGACAATTAATCATTAAAAAAGAGGGGGGGAGTCAAAGATCCTCAACACATCCAGGATGCCCCAGCAAATACTTCTGACGTTTCTCCCACATCTGTTTCCTCACTGGGCCTTCTCCTTAAAATCCTTCTCTGATCTTTCTCCTGAACGAGGAACTATCAGTTCTGAGATCTGTGGTTAAAAAAGATGTATTCGCCACAAAAGGAGATTACCTCAAGACCTTGTTCCCCAAAGAATTAACTATTTAACTTTAATTGTAGCTCAGGTTTTAATGAATAGTAATGAACTGAGTGATTTATGTTGCATTTAATGCTTTAAAAATCCTTTAGGTTTGAGAAAAAATTAATATAATAAAAACCGAGTTCCAGTTGATCTAGCTGCCCAGCCAGGTCTGGGAACCAATAGTTGACAGCAAACAGGGCTGGGGCTTGGAAAGTCTGTGGTCCATCAACTTTGAAAAGCCTTTGCCAGGATGTAACTGGACCCTCCATACAGTGCACAGAAGTAGGCAGAGACCACTGAGGGTCAGAAAAGTAATCTTGCTCAGCTTCAACTTACCGAGGACGTCCTCCACAGGGAATGTTGCAAAGCCGTAGTTCTCAGCCAGAGGCAATTTTGAGCCCCCCTCCCACCCCCGAGGACATTTAGCAATGTCTGGAGACATTTTTGATCATCACAAGTTGGAGGGGATGCTCCTGGCATCTCATGGAAAGAGCTGGCGATGCTGCTAACCACCCTACAATGCACAGGACAGACCCCCACAACAAAGAATTATCTGGCCCCAAATGTCAATAGTGCCAAGGCTGAGAAACTCCAGTCTAGAACAAAGGCACTTGAAACCCCCTAGGCACCCAATCTTGAGTCACGACCCCTTTGAGCATCTTAGCCTGTGGACTCCTAGGCAAAAAAAGTATTTCTATACAATACACCGACACAAGGCTTTGCAGTGTTGGAGGCAGGACCATCCACCCTGATGCCCATTCGTGAACCCCCTCATTCAATACCGGGCACTCAAGGGTACTGAGGTCAGTTACTCTTTTTAGAGAGTATTCCAATTTTTTTTTTTTAATCCTTCCAAACAAAAGAAACCCTGTTCAGAACAACCTTGGGCACATATTACCTCGTTTAAACCTCATAGCCATCCAATGAGGTCAGGACAGTTATGATCACCAGGTGACGAAGAAGGAGACTGGGGTACAGAGAGGTTTAGATAACTTTTCCAGGTGGCACAGCCAGCAGTGGCAGAACTGCAGGCCTGGCCGGGCGCTCCGGGTCCGAAGACCACCGCGAAGCGTGCAGAGGGCCCCCAGCCGGTGGGGGCATTCGGAGTCCAGTCTGGCTTTCCATCGGGCTTGCACTCCGCCGCCGCCGTCCTCCCCTCGCTGGGAGATGAAGTCAGCAGAGATGCGTGGCCAGCCCTCTCACGCTGCCCTCCCCGGGGCAACGGCTCTCCGAGCGGATGCGTGGACGTGGCCGCGGCCACCGGGCTTGGAGCGGAGGCAGCTCCGTGCGTGGGCCGCCCGTCTGGGGAAGAGGGCTCCTGTCCCGACTCTCCGCAGGTGCGGGCATCCTCAGCTGCGCCTCTGGGGGACTCCTGGCTCCGGCTCGGGGCGGGAAGCCTCCGGTCTCGGCCAGCTCCTTGTCATCTCAAAGCACGCTCCCCTGTGAACATGACCAGCGGCACAAGTTGCTGATTTACCGAGCAAGCAGGTCAGCTCCAAGACCCATCCCTTGCGCATTTACAGTCACCCAACCTGCCCACTCAGGGGGCCTGCCCAGGGGCCAGCAGTCAGCCAATAACTGGAAATGTGTCAGAGTAATGGTGAGTCCCGAGGTTTCCTTATCTTTTCTCCATTAAACCTCTCCTCGGTTCCCTCAATCTCTGTCTGCTTTCGTTTGGTAGCAAGAGGCTGCTTGTGGACCACGTGGGCTGGTGGTCAGGCAGGGACCAACCTTACTTTCCTCCTCTGGCTGGGACTGACACCCAGGCTCAGACATTCGTGCCCCAGGGCTGTCCTCTGTCCTCATTTCCTCATGGTCACCCTTTAGTCTGAGCACCGAGTTTCTGCTGAAAACCACGCAGCAGGGGATGTTCGCATCCCTGGAGGCTTTGACAATCAAGAAACTGCATTCAAACAAACTGTGTTCAGAGGGACTTTTTTTTCTTTCTTTTTATTTTCTTTCTCTTTTTTTTGGTGAGGAAGATTGGCCCTGAGCTAACATCTGTGGCCAATCTTCCTCTTTTTGCTTGAGGAAGATTGTCACTGAGCTAATATCTGTGCCAATCTTCCCCTATGTTGTATGTGGTATGCCACCACAGCATAGCTTGATGAGCAGTGGGTAGGTCCACACCTGGGACCCAAACCTGCAAACCACAGGGCCGCTGAAGTGGAGCACGTGAACTTAATCACTGTGCCACCAGGCCATCCCCGGCATGTTTTTCTTATAGTTTGCAAATACATGCATTCAAATCTAAAATTTTGGTTTCAGAAAACAGCAGCCAACTAGACTTAACAGATTTTACCCATCTGCCACATGTGCACCTGACCAATTTTTTTAAATGGGTAAACATTTTAAAGCTAAGCTCCCCACCCCACCACCCTGCTATTCCTTTGTCACCCGCTCCCTCTCTGGGACAAGCACTATTGGAGTCATCAGAGCACCCCATCTCTGGATAGTTCTTACCGATGTGAGCCACTCATGTGGTGAGAATCAACACATCATCCTGTCTGGAGTGACTTGACAACTTACAGAAAAAGCATCCTACTCCCCACTTCTGGACCCTCTTTGGCCTCATCACTTAAGGGGCCCCAGCTCCTTTCCTCGACTGGCTATCTCGTCCCCGCAGTTGTGCTTGCGGGAGTTTGGGGAAGGGGATGTGAAATGCCCAGCTTAGGACCAGTCCCACAGCAGGAGAAGGCTGATTTCCATGACTCTGGTCCCCTAAGGGCCACAAAGCGTGGGTGGTCTGCACAGCAGCCCCACAGCTCAGAATGATTTGGGGGATGCTCTACACCCTAGAACAGGATGGAAGGGGTGAGCTCCACCATTTGATGGAGGAGAAACAGGCCCAGAGCGGGGAAGCGAATGCGTCGAGATCAGTGGCGAGGTAGCGACTTGACCTGCACTCTTGGCCCGGCCACGATGCGTTTGTGAGCCAGCGGCATCATCAGCACCTTCCTACTCCTCACCCTACAGAGAGCAGGCAGTGAAGATGGGGAACTCCTTCCCCCCCACCCATCCCAGAGAGAAGTCAGCCAGCTGCCCTAGGCTCTGAGCTGCTGCAATTCCACTTGTGGGCATCCTGCCACTGGGGTCAGCATTTCTGGTCAAGAGAAAAAAGACCAGGGCACCAGGGGTAGGAATCCAGGGCCAGAGCGCCCCCTGCTGTCTAAATGTTAAGCAACCCAAACCTTAGGTCTGCCTCTCAAGAGTTCCTGTGGTTGGGGCCCAGGAAAGCTGAGGGCTGGGTTCAGGGCAAACCCCTTCTGGAGAGTCTCTCCTTTTGCTCTAGAAGACCCTTTGGGAATCCCCAGGATCCCTGTCAATGGGAAAATCATGCCCACTGTTTCTCTCTTGCTGCATCCCTGAATGAGTCCACTCAGCATCATCCATTGATGGTTTTCTGTGGACCAGCCACTGGGTCTGGTACTTTGGGGACCAGAAAAAACAAGACACTATTCCAGTCCCTATGGAGTTTCTTGAGTGAGAGAGACAACCAAGGAAACATAGAGAGGCAAAGATTTGATGCAGGTGAGTGTAACAGGCTGGGGACCAAGTATCAAGGAAACGGATCAGAGAGGTTCTAAGGGCAGACTGGTGGGGTTTGAAGAGGAAATAGAGGTAGAGAGACCAGACATGGAGAGGGGGGAAACACATTTCTGTGAGAGGAAACAGACCCAGCCAATGCCCCTCCTCACTTGTCCCTTGTCCCAGCTGCTTCCTCTTCCTCCCTCCTAACCCACCATGGGTCACAGTGGCTGTCCACCTTGAGAGTCCACCGACCTCTCCTGGCTGCCGCTCCCCTCTCTGGCCAGGTCCATGTCTGGTGGGATTCCTGTGACTCTCCCAGCCCTCACACCTTGACCCTGCCACCTGCCATTGAACACTTGGCTTCCTGAATCCTGCTCAAGCCTGTCAGCAATCTGGACACTTGAGAATTCAATACACATGAACTATTTCTCATGCAGAGGATGCCGCAAAGTCTAAACCATCCTTTGCCCCTAAGGAAGAGAAGTCATGGCAGGGAAAGAGAGAAGGTGCCAAGGAGTCATGCCAAGAGAAGGTTCTCTGCAGGTTTAGAGGAAGGACAAGTTTGCTCTGGGCTGTAAGGGCAAGAGGAGGTGGGAAGCAGGGATGGGAACTCCATGGGCAATGGCGCCGGGATGTGCCTGTGGGATGACGAGGAAGAGTTAAGAGCAAAGGCTTGGAGCAGGAAGGCTCAGGATGAGTCTGTGGGACGGCGCATGGAGGAATATTTCCCAGTAGGGAGCTGAGAGCCACTCAAGGTTGGAAGCAGGAAAGGGACACAATGAAAAGTGTGCTTAGAAAGATTCCCGGGACAAAGGTCACCCTGGTCTCTGTCAGCGGCTGTGATCAACCTGCCCTCCAGCCGGGGAGGGTGGAACCACTACTCCTGCGTGAGCCCCTGGGTTCTGCCCCAGGACTGCTCCCTGCTGGGGCGCTGCCTGCGCTGCACTCAGGGTTCTCGAGGGCAGAATTCCTCCTGCCTGGGTGAGTCAGCAAACAGTGCCCAGCTGACCTCAGGCCCCAAGGAAGCCCGCCAGGGGGTTGGTCCTGATGATAAACACAGGGCTCCAAGCTGAGCTGGGATGGGACACACGGTGGGCCCAGGCAGCTGGGTCTTCACCCTGAATCTGCCACTCAACCACTAAGTGACTTTTTAGAAAACCTCTTTCTTCTCAGCCTCCTAGGCCTTTTGATGGCCACCCCAGCTCCTCACAGTCAAAAAGAGACCTTCTACTTTCCTATGGTTCACACCATGGGCTTTTGTACAAGGCATCATTGTCTTGAAACACAGACACGTCAACGGCCTGGGTTATGCCCTCTCTGCGTACCCGCTCAGCTCCGGCCGGCACTGATACTGGAACCCAGCCTCTGCCTCTGGCTCGGCTGTCTCAGAGGCTCCTCCTCCTGCTTTCCTGGATCCTCCCTGTCCCCAGGCACACCAGGCTGTCTTCAGGAATCTGGGACTGAGGCCCTTGTTTAAGGAATCCTGCTCAGCACAGGGGCAGTGGAGGAGCCCACTCACGGTAGGGTGGGTCCTGGGGGAGCAGCGATGTTCACTCTGGGCAACAGCATTACTTTCTTCATTGTTCTGAGAGTCCTGTCTCCACTCTGGGAAATCAGCCTGAGCTAGAAATCTGACTGTGTGGGAACAACATGGCCACCAGGGGGCAGCAGAAAACAAAAGCTTTACCTGAAAATGGCTAATTTGGCGAAATTCTCTGCTGGTGAGGGAGAGCAGTGGTTCCCAGCCTGGGCTGCAGATTGGATTCACTTGGAGAGCTTTAAACAACACTGAGGCCAGGTTCCTACCTTGAGAAATTCTGATTTAATTGGCCTGAGGTGTAACTCCAGCATCACAATTTTTGGTCTCCCCAGAGGAAATTTAATTTTTTAAACGGGGAAAGAGGTGGAGGAACAGAAGCAGCGACCTGTCAGACCGTTCTACTTTTCAGCTAGGGCCGAGAACCGTCGGGCTGCACCTCTGTGGCTCCAAGTGTGGCTCACAGAACCTCCAGTATCCAGTTAGCCGGGAGCTTGTTAGAAATGCAAAATCTCAGGACCCACTCCAAACCTACTGAATCAGAATCTGCACAAGATCTCCAGGGGTTTTGTGTGCACATTAAAGAAGGGCCCTTGGGAAGAGTCTAGTCCAGTGCCATATCCACACTTCACAGATGCAGAGACTGAAGCCCAGAGGAAAGGATCTATTTGTTCAAGGTCATTGGCCGTGCAGTGGGTGGGATGGCACAGACCAAAAGACCCTGACTCCCAGTCCAGTGCTCACAGCACCCTGCTCCTCCCACCCAGGCTGGGCCTGGGCACCCAATGGCAATAAGTGGTGGCAGGAGTCTGGTGGGGCTTTGGAACTTCCCCACAGCTCTCAGCACATGGACTGCAGGGATGCTGGAGATGGCTAAGATACCATCCCTGGCTCAAGGAGCTTCCGTCCTCATATATAACTCAGGACAGAGACATGGTATCAGCCAAGTACAACCGCTCATCTTGAATCACACTGTGGGGCCACTGTAAATCTAGGAAAACAGAGACAGGACAAAGAGATCTGCGAGGATTTGTAGCCAGGGAAGGGCTTGGAGGGAGGTGGGTTAGATTTCAGTGGCTGGTGGAGGGATTTCAAGGGACGAATTAAGGGTATTAATAGGGCGGGAAAGGGATCCGTGTGACCAGGCACCAGGTAAAGGCTGGGCAGCAGAGAGATAAAGCTGGGTTGGGATGGCAGCTCAGAACACAGATGAGGCCCTGAAAGCAGAGAAGAGCTGCATACAACTGGATCAGTCCCTCGGCTGGAGACCACAGGAGCCATGGAAGGTGTCTGAGCCAGGGGAGAAGAATGGACCTCTTTCGGGGTGTATTGGACATGGCACAATGGAGGAAGGGGCTACAGGAACCCTCGTCCTGGGAGCTCACTGAGGGCATGGCTCAAGGCTTGTTCACCTCAAGGTCACCAGCATTTGGTAGAGCCTTGGCCCTTGGAAGGCATCCTAAAAATGACCATCTCTAAGGGAAACCAGCCTTTAACCCAAGGGCCATTTCACACTCAAGGTCCAGATCCCAACAGGAAATCTAAGTCATGCTCTTGTGACCTCGGGCTTGTAACATCCTGGAGTGGGGATGATGACAGAAACTCCCTCATCAGGCTGTACTGAGACTTGCCTGTGACAATACACGTTCCATACCTGTCCTCTCACTGCTGCTTGATATCATGATGACTCCATTCTACTTCTGAAAACCTGTTCGTCCCAGGGCTCCAGTGACTGCACCGCCTTGATTTCCTCTGCAGCCCCTGGAGTTGCTCCTTCATTCTCTTCTTGCCCTCTAATTAATGGCAGCATTTGTCGAGCACTGCGCATATATTAAAGCACTTTACATATATGAGCTCATTTAATCCTACAATACTCCTTTAAGACAGGTTCTATTTGTTCCCCGATTTAAAGGTGAGAAAACTCAAGGACAGAGCTCCCACATGCACACAACAGGGGTTTGAGTTGGGTTACCGGATCAAATGCCCCCTCTAACCATGCTTTCATGTGTCCTCCAAGGCGAGCCTGCCCAGGACTCCCCCTTGGCTCCTCCATGACCCTCGAGCCGCACTTGCTCCCTCCGTAACTCCTCCTCTGTCAGCTGGGGGAGCCCGTTTCAATTCTTTGTTTTGAGTCTTCATCTTCTTCTTTGACCAACAGACCCAAATTTCCGAAGGCCAGTGGAAGTCTGTCGTCCCCTGAAACCCAGCCAGCCCCAAGCTCCTGGCCCCTGAGCCCCAGACAGCTCATCTCTTGTACCTTCCTTAGAGCACTAAGTTCATTCTGTCCGGACCTCTAGCTCAGCGAGGCTGTGCTAGTCTCCCGCCCCAAGTGTGGGATCCTGGAGAGCAGGAATCCGTCCTCAGGTGACCCTCAGGTGTCTCTTACAGACCCAAGCACAGCAAATATAGGACTTACCTATCTCTCAAGCCTCCATCCTCTCCCAGCTTCCCTGTTTTGGCTCACAGCACTATGGTTCATCTGGTCCTCTAGGATCGGAAACTTTCCCCCTTGAGCATCCCTCTCGGAAAGCTTTCTCATTCTTCCAACTGTCCTCCCCCCTCAGAGCTGCCTCCCCAACTGCCTCTTAGATTGTTCCCTTCCCCCACATTCCAGCAGACCAACCGCTCATCCCGCCCCCAGCAAGCTCAGGTCAAATCCAGGCGCCCTGAGTCGACCATCACACCCTGCTCCCTTTAAGAGTTGTTCCCAGTATGTGTCTTACCCCATGAACTCTAAACTTCTTGGGGGCAGGAACTGTGTCTTCCTATTTTCATCCCCGTGACGCTGATCACAGTAACTGGCACACAAAACTATCAATAAACATATTTTGAGTAAATGAGTTTGGGGATTTAGTTAAAGCAGAAAGTGTGTGATTCATAGGGAGCATTTGATTAAGAAAAAAATTAACAACATGGAAGGTATAAATATTTTCTGAAGTAGAAACTTCTAAAATTGCCCACACACATAGCCCAGGTCATTCTGCCCCTTGCCACACACAAGTCACATCTGCCATGTTTTTATTGATTCATTTGTTTATTCTGTTTCCACCCACTGACATGGGTTGACTATTCATTCACAGTCCGTTTGTTAAAAGCACAATCGCCGAAGCCCGCTCCCAAGATTTACTGAATTCAATTCTCTGGAGTAAGGCCTGAGGGCTTCTCATTTTATTCATTTATTTTTAATTTTTAACTTTTCCTTTTAAAGTAATTTTCAGACTTATAAAACAGTTTGGGAATCATAAAGTTCCTTGTACCCTTCACCCAGCTTCCCCAATGTTAAAACTTACATAACCATAACACAGTGATCAAAACCAGAAAATTCACATTGACACATTAACTCATCTACGGACTTCATTCAGATTTAGCCAGTTGCCCATTGATGGCCTTTCCTTGTTCCTGGAGCCAACAATCCAGGATCTCACACAGCTCTCAGTTGTCACGTCTCCTTAGACTTCTCCCATCTGGGACAGTCCACGGTCTTTGCCTTTCACATGACCTTGACACCTTGAAAGGGCACTGACCAGTAATTCTGTAGAATGTCCCTCAATGTGGGTTTATCTACTATTTCCTCTTTTATCTACTATTTCCAGATTGTGCACTGGGGGCAAGAATAACACAGAAATGATGTTCTGGCCTCAGTACGTCATATCAACATGTATCATTACTGCTGACTTCAACTTTGTTGACTTGGGAAAGGTGATATTTGCCAGGTTTCTCCACTGTAGAATTAGATTTTTCCCGTTGAAGATTCTTGCCTGTCATAATTATTACTGTGCTGTTTGCCAAATGGCGATTTTCTATTTCTATCATTCCTTCTAATTAACTAGAAATCTATTATAACGAAGAGCTGTTCTGTCTGACTCTCCCTCTCTCAATATATACAGATACAGATAATATATACATAATATCTACATACACATATACGTATGCATAGCCAATTATTAATTTATGTCAGAATGGAATCAAAGATATGAGCTATAATCCATTACTATCAATATTTATTTTGTTGCAAAAAGTATCCCAGATTTGCCCATTGGGAGCACTTTCAAGGTGGCTCCTGTGTCCTTTTGACATGGCCCCATCATTTTGTGAACACTCCTAACATCTTGGCACTACACCAACCAGGAGTTCATCCTGATACCTTTGATTCCAACCCCACACCAAGGATTCATTCTAGCCTTCCTCCTTTCCTTATTTGTAACTCCTTTCTCCATCAGAAACTTGCCTCTTTTCCACAATGTACTTACTTATTTGCTTGATCCCAGAATATATATAAAAGATTTTCAGAAATGCTAAACCATTCCCCCGTGAAAAACAAGTTTACTAACTAAAGTACAATATCTATGTACAGTTCTTTTTGTTTTCAGCCTTATGTTACCCAATAGAAATATTGTTTTCACAAGTTACACGGGAAAGTTCTTTTCTTCCCCACCTCCTTCAATGAGGTTGTAGTACTCATCTGGTGTACTGTCAGGTTCACAGGTTACTTTTTTTTAAATTTCACCCTGAGCTAACATCTGTTGCCAATCTTCCTCTCTTTTTAAATTTTTTTCCCTCCCCAAAGCCCCAGTGCATGGTTGTATACTCTAGTTGTAGGTCCTTCTAGTTCTTCTGTGTGAGCTGCTGCCACAGCATGGCTACCGACAGACGAGCGGTATGTTTCCTAAACCAGGAAATGAACGTGGGCCACCAAAGTGGAGCACACTGAACTTCAAATGCTAGGCCATCACGGCTGGCTCCATAGGTTACTTTTTTATTCCATTTTAGATTACTCCTACATCCTGGCTGATTTCAATTACATGAGCACGTTTCCCAGTGTCAGAACTATAGAAAAGGCGCACAAAGAGAAACGTCACCCCGCCTTCTCCCTCTCCCCTGTTCCTATTCATCCATTTTTTTCCACCCACATCCTATAGGTGACTAATTTCATGTTTTCTGGTTTATCCCTCCTGTATTTCTTTTTCCACAAACAAGTGGAGACATGGATATTTTTACAACCCCTTCTTTTTCACATGTCAACTGTACATCTTCTTCTGCACTTTGATCTTTTCACTTAACAGTATATCCTGGAATTCCCCCCATATCGATTCATAGAAATCTTCCTTATTCTTTATCACAACTGCATAGTACACCTTTGTGTAGACGTACTAGAGTTTATTCAACTTCTCTCTCCCTATGGGCATGTCGGTTATTTCCAATATTACAAATAATACTGCAATAACTGACCTTATGCATATGGATTTTTGTATTTTTGAAGACGTATCTTCAGGGTAAATCATAAAAGTTGGATGGCCAGGTCAAAAGGTAAGTGCCCTTGTAGTACTGTTAGAGCCCGCCAAATTCCCCTCTAAAAGGCTCAGAGCCCTTTGCATTCCCACTAGCAACTGAGAGGGCCTGTTTCCTCACAGCCTGGCCAAGAGAAAATTGTCTTAATTTTTGCCATTGTGATAGGTGGGAAAGAGTACCTCAGGCTTAATTTGCATGATTTAATTTGCATGTCTTTACGAGTGTGCTTGCATATCTTTTCATATGCTTGAGGACCATTTTGATCTGTGTGTGTGTGTGTGTGTGTGTGTGAACTGTCTGTTGAAATCTTTTCTCATTTTTCTTTTGAATATTTCATCCTCTGTCTCAATTTTTAAGAGATCTCTACATATTAGGGATTTTAGCCCTTTGTCTGTCTTATGTGTTGCAAATATTTTCTCCCAATTTTCCAGTTGTCTTTTGACTTTGTTTCTGATGGTTTTTGCCATGTCCAATTCACCGATATTTCATTTAGTTGCCTCTGGATTCTGAGTCATGGTTTGACATCTCTTCTTTACACTGAAGTTAAGAGGAATTCACCTGTTTTTTTCGCTAGTACTTATATGGTTTCATTTTTCACATTTAAACTCGTGATCCATTTGAGTTTACTTTTCTCTATGGTGTGAGCTACGAATTTAATTTTATCTTTTTTGAAATGACGACCTTGCTGTCTCAGCCCCATTTATTAAAAAGCCCATCACTGCCTCTGAGATTTGAGATACCACCTTTGTCATACACTAAATTGCCATTTGTTCTTAGGTCTATTTCTGTTCTTTCTATTCCATTCCATTGGTCTGTCTATTCATGGGCCAAGGCCACATGATTCTACTTACAGAGGCTTTACAGTTTGTTTTAAAGTCTGACAGGGCTAGCCCCCCGCCTTTTGTTTTGATGCTTCCCTGGCTATTCTATCAGGCATATTTTCCATATGATCTTTGATATCATCAAACTGTGACCCTCAAAACAGCTCCAAGAAGCAAGCAGTCACCAGAAACTTCCTGGAAGACACCCTCAGTGATCAGAGAGTTCTTCTGGCCCAACCACCAAAACAGGTGAAATCTCGCTCCCAGCACCAACAATATGCCAACCTATGGGGTCTTTCTCTTCTTGCTGAAGGAGCCCAGCCCCGACTGGAGGTCCCAACACCAGTTGCTAGGGGTCATCTGAGGCCTTGAGTGTGTGGTGTGCCTCCTACATGGTACAGCTGGGGTCCCACCAAGAGATGCAAGAAACTCTTCTCTTCTAAATAGCAGGATGTCACGGGCCACCTGTCGTTTCCACAATTTCCAAGATCACATCAAGACAAAGATGCCCACCCCACCAGGGAGATCCCACCCACCTGGGAGGACCTCCTGCGCCCCTTCGTTCTTCCACCTATGGTTCCTCTTAGGCCTACTGAGAAAATACAATCTGTGCTTTCCCCAAGTTAGAACTTCCTTTTGCCCAAGAGGGAAAATGCAGACAATGATCTGAGGTGTGGGGTTTAAAAAATTATCTGACCACTACAAAGACCACTGCTGAAACTGTTTCCTCTTATAGAATGACCTTCTTGGTTTAGCTCCCACCAGCTCTATAAGTATAAATGACTTAGACATTTATGATAAATTTCAAATGTAAAGAAATCCTTTTCTGTGGATGATTAGACAGTGTTCCTCAGTTATTCCGACGTGCACAAGGGTTGGGAACCGGGGGAATGTAACAGACGGGACTGGCATCTGGCAGCTCAGGGGGCTGCTCCTCCTCCCCAGCAGAACAGCTGGACCCTCCACACCAGGCATTGAGTAGGGAGGGTTCAGCAAGGCCCGGAGGGGTCCTCCAGCTCAGAGTGGTCAAACCATCCAGTCACCACAGCTACCGTACCAGGATAGGCATATTCTGCATACTCTAGAATAATCTCTCCCTTCAATCTACCAGCAGCCCAGTGAAGTAAATTCAGGCATGATCACCATCTTACCAGAACAGAGAGGTTAAGACAGCCAATCATGGCAGACTTTGGGTAAACAGAGGCATCTCACTCCAGCAGCCATGCACAGTTGTTGCCAAGATCTTGGTCTTCCAAAGGCACTGTGAGAGGCAGAAAGTGTGGCACTGTCCCCACTCTCCATTTTGCATGGCCATAGTCCAAGGCGAATTTACTGGATGCTGGTGTCCTGGAATGAGCTGGAAGGGATTGACTCTGTCGTTTCATTGAGGAGAAACAAACCCAGAGAGGGAAGACACTTTCTCAAGATCACTCAGCCAGTCAGTGTCAAAGCTGAGACCGGAGTCCTGGACTCCTA